AATTTCTATAAATACGAACAAACAAATTCATCCGAATGCAATTTATACCAGTCGACTATTTACTTGAAAATTAATATCAATCTCAACAGGTACATGTACGCACATTTATTTTGTATTTACATGTAATCAAAAAATAACATTTTAAGTATATCAAACATTTAGATTCTACAAGTGTTAGTTTGTGCATGTATGTTCCAAAAGAAGGTAAATTCAGTTTTCAAAAAAGACAACATTAATACATGTATGTTAAAAGTACTGTTTTCACAAAATTCTAGTATGCGTGGCTACCGAATATGACATCAATGCCAAATCAACAAACATCAGCTCATATGCACCTAATGAAACAAAATCTAGTAAATATATGCCATAGTAATGATTATCTGTTTTTTACAATATCCTCATATTACATGCACATGTATAATGGATATTAGCATTATGAATGAAGGAATAAAACACCAAAAATTCAAATTTTAAACTCAAAATACATACTATTAATTATTAGCTAATTTGATTTAAACTGAAAAACAGTGTCCAATGGTAAATGTGTCGAAAGAGTCAAATAAAAAGTTTAATTAGTGATGGAATTATAATCACGGTAAAAATTTTAGAAGTTCGTTTTATAAAAATACATATACATACGTACACGTATTAATCTCAAATATTTATTACCAAATAGTTACAGATACCGAATCTACAGATCTCACAAAGCTTGTCATAAATTTCGTTAACAGTTCTCCCCTCCAATCCATCACCATATACATGAACCTCCATGAATATTGTTATTATAGAAAAACTAACAAAACTTTACTTGTTGCTGCCTTTTTATAGGTCAATTCAATAAATTTATAGTATGATTTTTATTCATTGTAACAAAAATAATATTCATAACAATTCAACAATTACAATAATTATGAGAAATTAACTTTATTAACATGATTTTTATTATTTTAACCATGGAATTTGTGAAGATTAATATCTGTGATAAATGCCAATCAATCAAATATCATAGCTGATAGGTAACTAAAATAATGAATTAAAGTTCACACAGAAAGTAATTGTGTTTAGTTTTTTTCAAAATTAAAATTTAGTTTGACATATATTTTAGCATGTCTGAATCATAATAGTGTTACACTTCTTTCTAAAGATGTTGGATCTAAAGAAAGTAGGTCACAACACAATGTGGGAGTGCTTGACTGAATGATTTACAGGGAGAGTGGTTCTCTGATTGTTCTAAAAGTCTCCTGCGATAGTTTTTACGAAAAATATTATGTATAGTAAATAATAGAAGAGTGTTTAAAATAAAAGAGAAGATGAGATAGAATTGTTGACAGGATTCCAAAGGAATACGAGTAATTTCTGCTCACTGCTAACACAAAACAAAGAGGTGGACTTCCAATAAACTATTCAATATGAGAATTAGACACAAAGCAAATCCTAAAAACCACAAACTAATACACACCAGCTTTTTAAGGTGAAAGAAGTAAAGCCATCAATTTTGTTAAGCATAAAAGAAATAAAAACTATCAATTTCGTTATGACATGAAGTAAATAAGAGCAGAAACGCATTTAATTATATTTCACAAAAACTTAATATTTAATTTATTCAAACCGCTCATTACTTAATTCTCTAACCTTTGGATGACTATTCTTTAAGTACAATTTTTAGAACTACATCAACCTGATATGTAGTTTTACAAGATCTGAAGTACAAAAACTATGAATTATTTAAGAATTCCCAGAAAAATAGCATGGTTATACTTCAATACAAAGAATTAGATATAAATATAAAGACAAAATAAAGTCTAACTTTAATGTATAACATTAAAGATGAATACTGATATAAATATTTCTATAATCAAAGAAATAACATATGATATAAACATTTGATAATTACATTCTATTAGAGAAGATAGTGCTGATATTGATATCACAAGGTGAGCATTTTCATATGAATTTTCGAAGTGACATTTATATTGATGCTGCAAAATGTGAATTTGTATATGTATAAGACAATATATATATTTTAACAATTCTATTTATGATCTTCATTATACAATAGTGATAGTATGCCAAATCGAAAACTGCACATTATTCTAAATTTCTGATATTATGTGATTTTTATATTTCTAGGCAACAATAGCCATCAGCTTAATTTTTTGAGTTTCTATCATTTAAGAATATATAATTGAATTTCAAGCTACATATCTAATATAACTTTTCTGATAGAAATATTTATTCACTATTTTACATATCCCCCGATAATGAATTTTCAACATATTATCTTCTAAAATAAATTTTGTATATAAGCGGAATCATAAATGCATCATTTTATAAAAAATTTTATTTTTGAAAATTTTGAAATTATTTCAAAAATTTGTTCTCATAAGAAAGATAAGAAAGATAATGAACTATGCAACAAGAAAATTGTCACTTTTTTGATGTTAATTCAAGAAAAAATAATAACTTCTTGAAAATTTAGGTGATATATCACTTTCAAAAGAAAAGAAGATGGAATTAGAAAAATTCCAATCTTTATCTCTCATAAACATATAAACATGTATTTTGAATGAAGTTAATAAGTCAAAATTAAGATAATCTCGATTAGTGTCAGTTTAATTTAAATTTATAATTATTGTAATTAAAATTTAAAGTAAATGTGGAGACTTTTTGCAATTTGATAATTGGATTAAAAGCTTTCTTACATGATACAAAAATGCACTTCATATGGATTTGCATTATCACATAAAATTCATTTAATATTAAAAAAATCTAAACGTGCTGACCAATTACCATTACATAACAAATATTTTTTATCACTATGTACAGCATCCACAAAAATTATCGCCCAGCTCAAAATTGTATAGTAAAGCATATAAAAATGGATAAGCTATATACATATTCACGTTTTTTCTAGTAATTATTTCTAAATTCTATATTATTTTAAAAGCTCATGAGTTATATTTTAGACAAATGATTTCCAGCTATGGATGACTTAAAATGCAAAAACCATTTTGATTGTAAAGGAAAAAATTTTTTCCCACGCTTTACATATAAAAAATTGAAATTTTCAAACTATATACATATTCATATTTCTTTTAATAATTATTTCTAACTTTTATACCATTTTAAGTAAATTGATTGTAGTTCTCAAAAATGTTTCCTAGCCGTAGACGACTAAAGACGGAAGAACTGTTTTGATTATAAAATCATCAAAAAAAATTTTTATATAGTATATATTTTACTATATAATTTCAAATCGGGCGAGACTTTCTACGGGCACTGTGCATGTATGACTGTTGTACTGTTACATCTTCCTCTAATTAGGTGTAACTTTGATTTGTCGAGCTAAACTGAATTATTTACGGTTAAAGGAGCTCTTTAAGGTTCTAAAGGTTTTCCGTGGCGACTTATATGCAAATGGGTGAATATTTAATGACAAAACTATTTTATGAAGTTCCTAATTATCCACAACAGAAGACAAATCGGCAATACTTATTGACGCGGCCTGGAAATCAATAATTACGATGGTTTCAGCTAACCAAAAGCTAACGTGTTCGAAATAAAAGGTTGGGACTTAGTTTCTGCCTACAAAATAATATAGAACACAAAAGTTGGACTTAGTTTCTGCCAACGAAAATACAATTCAAAAGTATGGTTTCTTTATAGTGAAGATCCTCCACTAATTGTTCAAAAGACAAGATTTAAAGTTAATCAGTGTAAAATAAGTAACAAGTAAAGGTGAGTTTAAAAAGTTATCTTTATTTTTATTTGGTTAAGCATGTCTGCCAACAATACGAGACCCTTCTATTTATAGAATTATATGATTATTTTAATCGTTATAAGCTTGGTAAATAGGATACTAGAGCAGATATTATATTTTTCGTTTGACAAATGTTAAACCATACTAAAAATGATTGTTAAATAGACACCAAATGATGCGGAGATAAAAATATATATGAAACAATGTCGCGGAGATAAAAAAAATAGATTAAAATAATGTTTAAATGATGCAAGGGTTAAAAAATAAATCTATACGGGGAACGTTACCATATACATGTACATGTATAAAGAAAAAATGACTGTCAAATACATGTAAATGTAAATGTTAGATTATGCCCAAATTTACTAGATCAACAGAAGATAAGTTAATATTTGAATTTCGAAAAATCATGAAATTAAAGATTTTAACATGACCATGGTAATAGTACAACGAAAGAAAATACATGTATATGTATTAGGATATTTATACAAGAGCTATTTATCATTATAAAAATAAAAATTTTTACTGGTTTTTTTGTTCTTGTTTCTGCAAAATGAAAAGACCTTCTGTGCATCATATCTGTATACGGAATTGACTACATTTGAAAAACTGGATGCATGCAAATGGGCATTTTGTGGTTTAATTGGTGTGCTACGCAATAAAGTTAGATAAATTACATGTCGCTGTGCATACGTTCCGTTCATATTCTGTAGAAAAATAAAGCCAAACATAGTACCACGTCAAGTACATTTAATTTTTATTGTGCAGTAATAAAATAAAAGATAGGTATGCTGAATTCGTCTCTCTAATTTTGAATGTTGCTATTTGAATTTTTTCTCTTGAAGTTGATTAATAATCAGCAATAAAAAATTCGCATCGTTTATATGAAGCTTTTTGTAAATGAGCATGGACTTTTGCGAAGAATTTAACGTAGTTATAACCTGTTTAATCACGAGTACATTGTCTATTTTCTTTATAATATATAAAGTAATAATGAGTTTTACAAGACTAAGATTTGCATGGTAATTTATAAATCTACGCTATAGTTTATTGATACGTATTAAATAATAACACTATCATTTCTAACAACAGTCTAATGGAAACTCTAATTATACAAACATGTGCTATCGTGCACCTTATACGATGCCTCACAAACAGCATAAGTACGATTACGTTTTGGATATTAATTGCATTAAAAAATGCAGTTTACACAACAATTATCTTAATCTTTATTTTGGACATGGGTCGAAAATTCTATCAAAACATTTACTGGAATACACTATTGTTCAAATTAATTCTACTCGGCATATTACTTTTTAACATTCTAAATTTCATTACCGTTACATTTCTAATAACCGGTGTGATAGAGGAGGAGTCAGTACACATACTTTGGGTGGTGCAAATGATTGTGGGAATTTTAACCATGATGTTATCGTTCGGATACACTTTTGCTCCAGTGATAATTTCACATTGGAATCCGAATAATCCGAAACTACAAAACACAGGGCACATCAAACCTATGAATGCTGCTGTAGCCACTTGGTATCTCGTAGTGTTAGGCATTCTATGTTCAATATATTTGGCTTCATATATTTCTTCTTTTTTTGATGGAGATGCAATAGAATATTTGTCGGCGAAGACATCATTTGATTCGATTATACGAAGTGTGATTTCTGTTGTGCTTGCTTCATCACCACCGAAACGGTTTATTGAAATTATTAAATCGATAGTGATTAATCGGCGGCCGTTAAACAATTTTATTCGTGATCGTGGTGTTGTGAGCACCGGTATGATAGAAGACTCACCATATGCAAATAGTATAGAATTGTCGACACTTACATAATTACTATTCATCAAAGTTCGCAGTTTTGTATGTATGTTTCACCGATAGATCTTTCTATCATTTTTTCCCTAAGCGTAGATATAAATAAATAAGGTTTATACTGTTTAAAGTATTGTAAGATAGAACATATAAAGGTAAGAAACCTTCTATTCTCCATATGGAATAATTCTTGTCTTAAATATTATTGCTAATACAATTCTTTTAAGTTATACATTATATTTTTTTCATAAATGAGCTTAAGACTTGTTAACAGTACAGAAAATTTTTTGTGTTAATTGCGAGTCAAATTGAGGCTTTTCGTGATCGATTTGTATTACAATTGTCTGTCTAGGCAGAGATACGCTCAATGGCTGAAATCCATTACGAAATATAGGTTCATGAAAATACCATTTATGTAATCAAATTCCAGTCAACATGTAGATTAGTTGATTGAAGCATGCTTAAAAGAGTTGAGTCATGCATTCAAAATGATCGTTGTCCCAAAGATACTAAATTCATTTATAATAATTGAATTATAAATCAAAATAAAATTTCTGGATACTTTTGTGAGGCGAGTTATATAAGCAACGAAAAATCTCATGATGGAATGATTGGATCGGAGAGAATAAGCAATTTATAATTGGTCATTGTCAGATGAATCGAATAGTAGTTAGACCGTGAGATTTCGTGTCCCCAAGTTAATAGAATAAGAATACGCAAACCTTCGATCAGCCTGGCAAAAATAAACTAACACTAATAAATGTATTTCTCGAAATAGAGGTTTCTTGATTTTCTTATTTTTCTTGTTCTTCGGTACTTGACATATTTCCTAAATTATTTTTTAAATCTTGGAGATTTCTTATTTTTGATCATATACTGATCAAAAATAAACAATAACAACATTTATTGTGCGCGAACTATCATATTTAAAGTCAGTCTAGAGCTCATATATATAGCATTTAGTGTATTTCTATTAGAGTTCCAGTTTACTGTATCTCCGCGCAGTTACTGTATTTCGAGCAGTAATTACTGAAAATTTTGCAAATCAAAAAACGTCTAGATCGTTATGATAACTTTGGGACACATATCTCTACATCTAATGGTTTAATTTGGTTAAAAATAGAATTATTCGATTTGTCTAGATTAGACCATTAGATTCGAGATATCGTGTCCCAAAATTACCGAATTTTTAAATTTAATCATTCGGTTTTTTTAAAAATCTAATTTTCAATTCATTTGATTATGCATGCATTAAATATGTAGTGATCCTAACTGGTTGACCGGTTAAAATTTTCTTTCGCGGTTAACCGGTTACAAAGTTCAAATATGATATCGAAGCTCCGATCGGATCAGAATATTAAAGACTGATTTTAAGATCAAGGATCGGATACGAGTGAAAATTATTTACTTTTAAACTTTCTCCCTGACATTTTTAATTAATGGTCCAAGCTAAATTTAAGCATACATTTTCTGTCTTTAAATTTTTGTGTATTATTTTTATTTTGCCGGATGTTCAAAAAATTTGTGCTTTCTTATGTGTTTGGTCTGGGTGCAGCCATTCCAATCAGAACTTTGGGAAAAAATTAATAAATGCGCATGTTTAATAGAGTTTTGAAACACTACCACACCCGTATTTGTATAATTATCGATATACATGTAATGTTTTATTGGTGTCAAAAATATAATGAATACTGCGATGAATGTTTAGTCTATTATTTTCAAAGAATAGGAACTGTTCCAAACAAATTTATAACGATGAATTGTCTAACGGAGATAAAAATACCGACAATCTAACAAAATTATTAATGAAGTTTTATTGAATTTACGCTTGGTATATTACATATATAAAAATTTAAGAGCACATAAATACATACGAATTAACCAATTCTACGGCTTATAAGTATAATAACAAGGTATAGTTTAATTTAAATTTGAATATTAATTTTGATTTTTATTTAAGTGTTTGAATCTGATGGTAAATAAAAATTTACAATAAAATGCATGATCTGCAATTGTATGTAAAGTTTCAGATTCCTTTTGAAAGATTGAATATCTTGCAAAAGGAGACAACTATAAATTAACCTGATTGGATAAAGTAAGTGAGATTATGAATGCTTACAATATTTAGAAGAAAAAGTTATGTTGAAACATTACACAAATTATTCCAGAATTTATAAACTAGATAAAAAAGAAATATTTTCAAAGTGAAAGTTACTGATACTGTCAAGTTTTCAAAATAGATACAGACTGCTCTTAAATGCAGTTATAATATTGAATATAATAGAATAACTAAAAATGAGTAAATATTAATTCCAATTATAAATAATTGACTGAAAATCAAAAATTAAGTTATTTATATATATTATCCTTGATCTGAAAAAATTTACAAAGAGAAATTTGTGCATCATGGCTTTCATCCTAGAAATATATTATTAATATATCTACTCAAATTGTTGATTTTGACTTAGCATTCAAGCAGATATAAAAAAGAAATTTGTAGAGTACTTCTTTTATATAAGTTCCAGAAGTGCTAAATGAAAAGCAATATTCTATATACATTAGAACATTCATTCTTAAAAACTTAAAAACAAGTATATTTGGAAATATTATATATATAATAGTGCTTAAAAGTATTGTATCACTGAAATAAAAAAATAAAAAAGTCAATTTTTAATAATATAAATGTCACAAACATATAAAATTCAGCACATATATAGTTAAAAGCCTAAATAAATTGCTCAAGTAGTTTAAATAATAAATATAATACTACTTGATTTATTGGTTTTTATTTATATCAAACTAGTAATATATTTCTTTTAATTATTCTCTTCTAAAAAATAAAATATATAAGTATATCAAAAAAATAATATACATACTCTATATATAAAATACACCTAAGAATATACTCTTTTATTCTATATCATTTAAAATTATCATGGCACATATCAAAAAAAGATTATGAATTTATATTCTTCTTCAGTAAGAATTTTTCTCTTGTTTTATTGTAAATTATGAAAATATTTTCCAATCCACCATTATAAGAATAAAGCAAAAAAAAGATACTCATAATATTTTTACCAAAATCAGATTATTCTAGAATTTTTACTAGTTATGATGAATAAAATATTATATATCTAATTTTGAATAATTGTTTTATTACAATTTTCATTTAAAAAAAACTGAAATTTACAAATAAAATTGAAGTTAGCACAAGCATAATAAAGTAAACTTTATATTAGAATGGTCTTTCTTTATGAATTAAGCAAAAGAAACTAATTCTTAAGAAAATATATTAGATCTAATATTTGAATTTCACAAAAAATATCAGTATTAGATAACTAATAATTAGAGCAAAGTTATTTGGTTTAATAAATCAAAATTTATAATTTTTAATTTAGATAAATGTAAATACTACTAAAAATATTATAATGAATTACTAAAAGAGTATCACATGAAATCTATAATAAAATTTAAGTGCAGAAATATAATAGTTTGGAATTGCTTTTCATTCTTTGGCATTAGTAATATTATGCATAAATATAATCATATAGATGAGAAATTATACTGCAAAATTTTAAATGATGACCTTTTAAAAATAATTAGATGATATAATATTAAAGAATAATATTATCTTTAATAAGATAATGATTCAAAACACATGGCAAAATTTACTTATAAATGATTTGATAACAAATAATATTCATATACTTGATTGGCCTGTTCAATCATCTGATCTCAATCCAATCAAGCATCTCTAAAATGAATAGACTGGTTTTTGAGAAGTTTATTCATTACAATTCATATTCAAGATCAACTCTGGAACATGATACAAAAAGTCTGGATCAAAATGGATAATGCATTTTTAACAAATCTAATTGAAAGTACGGAGAAGTATATCCAAGATATAATTGATGCAAAGAGTGAATACACTAGGTGGTAAGAAATATTTAGGTAAATTTTGGTGAATTTTATTTACTAGTTGGTTAGAAATCTTAATTTGCATTTTTGTAATCAAAATGATCAAAAAAAGTGGATCACTTAATTTGATGTAAAAATGGTTTGTTTTAATTTTTAAGTTACAAATGAAAAAATAAAGTAAATACAATAATACTTTTATTTTTAGTGACTAAAATATGTCTAGTTATATATTGTTTAATGTTGTGTATGAGAAGTTATTACATCGCAAAATTTATCTTTCAAGTGATGCATTACTTTTCAGCGCCACTGTATAAAACTCTGGTTAAATTATAGATTCTATTATAGAGGTCATTTATAAATGGTTTTAGTAATGTGTACGAGTTAAAGGGTAAAATACGGGTTTGTCTAAATTCGCTCATTGACTAATTCCAATTATGTATTAACTATAAATTACATTGGATGAAATAAATAAATTTAATGCATTTAGCAGTTAAAATAATAATATATGTAATATAAAGAATTGAAATCACTTTTGTAAAATCAACTAAAGTTAATATCTAAATCTATAACTTTTCCTGCAAGTCATTTGGCATATTCAATATCATGTGGTATACTAATATCAAAATCTGTATTTATTATCAAAGAAAAATAATGAAATTAATGAATTAAAAATTGATAAAGATATCAACTGTAATTTCACCTTCATATGGAACATACAGACTGACACTTGTAGAAATCTAAATACATGTATTTGATATATTAAATTGAATATCTTGTTCAAAATAGAAATAAATGTACGAACCTCTATCAATTGACATTGATTCTAGAGTAAATATTCGACTGGTATAGACTGCATTTGAGTGAATTTGATTTTTGTTCACTTTCATAGCGATATTTAATTTCATCAAATTACTTTCTTTCTAGTTTAAACACTCTTTAATTTCTTCATGTTTTTTAGGATATTCTAAGAGCTTCTGTAGTACTGAAAATGTAAATAATTCAGTTTCCAAAACTCATAATCGACAATATCGATAAATTCATCAAGATTCTCAGCAGTTGGTCTGTTTTCTGGAATCGGTCCCAATATTTTTCAATAATAAATTTGCAGCATCCAGAATAGTATTTGCTATCGTAGGTCGTACTCCTTTATAAATATTTAATACAAGATCATATCCATGGCTTCGCTCACCAAATAGTTGTTCACCTGTAACAATCTCGTATTTAATCATTCCAAATCTATAAATATCTGCAGCTTTAGAGTATGGCTTTCCATTTAACACCTTGGACTCATATAAGGAATTTCTCCACAAATTTCTTGGCTGATCTTTCTATTTTCGTTGGCATTCTAAGTCCAAACTCAATGATTTGAGCTTGAACACGCATTAATATATTTCCAGGATGAAAGTTACGATGTACAATGTTCTCTCTGTGAATTTTTATTAAATTACTGATTATGCGATATGAATGTTCTAATTTTTGATTCCAAGTCAATTTTTCATAGTTGAAATTAATTTATTTATGGAGATCGCCATCTCTTGCATAAGTCATTACTATCGAATTTTCATTTGTAACAAGGTTTTTAGTTATTCTATAATGATTAAGAACCTTGTTGTTGAATTTAAGAGCAGTATGAATCTATTTTGAAAAGTTTTGATTGTATCAGAAAACAAAAGCAACTCTCACTTTAGCAATATTCATTTTTACCTCGTCTATAAACTCTGGAGAAATTTGCTTTAATGTTTCAACATAACTTTCCTTTTTCCCATCTTTTAAATTTATTTTCTTCATGTTCCCATTTAAAAATTGGACCATACAACCAGGTTCTTTATAAATCAATCCAAACCTCCTTTTGCAAGATATTCAACATTGCTAAATCTTTCTAAAGGAATCCATTCGAATAACTTATATGTATTATTGTTATTACATGTAATTTTGTTTTATTCTTTTGTTAGATTATCGATGTCTTTATCTCCGCTAGACAATTGATCGTTATATTTTCGTTTGTGGTATTTGAAAGTCATCGCAGTCCTTATTTTTCTGACAAACATATTCATCTTCTTGATAATCGAACCAATTCAATTTGTGAATGGATGCTCACATTTTGTGATTCGGGAAAAGATCTCGGGATGAGGACCGGATCTTACGGAATGATATTGAGGAAACCATCGGTAAGCGATCCATTTGACCATCCGGAGTGAATTTACTACAATGATGAGTATTTGATTTCGTTTAAATTTATTTTCTTCGCGATTTCATTTGACCATAATCCAATGGGCCATCCAATCAGGTTGGCTTTATGAATTAACCCAAAACCGTTTCTAAAGAAATCCATTCAAATATATTAAGATATTTATAATTAATTTTATTGCATTCTTTGATTAAGATGGTTGATATCTTTATCTCCGCTAGACAATTCATTATTATAAATTCGTTTGTGATATTTGAAACAATAATAGTAGTACTCAATTTTTTTTGACAAATGAAATATTTATTACAATCATGAGTATTGTGAACTAAACAGTCATCAAAGTATCAATTCCCTTGATAATGCCAACATTCATTACAATAATTCGATCTCATCTTTGAGTTCACTGGATAAAATGCGTGAATTGATTGAAATGATTGAAAATAAATGAGATAATCGTTGTCGTTTTATACATGTACATGTAGCTAAGTATTTGTAGCAAGTCTATGTGCAACTTTTATTACAATATCGATGTTCACGTATAATCTATGCTGTTTTTTATTGTTGTGGTAAAAATGTCATGTATTAAAAAGGAAGCTTATTGGATTTTAAAAAATGTTTAATTTATTTACACGTAAATATTAATATTTTTGTGGTGTTGTTTTTATCGCACAATTGTTATAATTATCGATGATTTGAATAAATAAAATTCAACGATATTGATATCGATATATACATGCACATGCACATATTTCCAAAATCCCGAAAGAACAAAATCCCGAATAAACAACATCCCAAATGTACAAATCCCGAAAGTATAGTATAGTGTATGTATCCCAAAATGCATGAAATACTAAAATTATCACAAGGTGTCGTTCGTCAGGCTTTTGTACATTCGGGATGTCGTGGATTCGGGATGTCGTTCTTTCGGGATTTTGATTTTAAGGGGTTTCATACCAGACTCACATATTAACTTTGAACTATAAATGTAATTAAACAAATTTAATTGATGTTGAAATTTAAACACTAAATATTAAAATCAAACTTTGCAATTCTAATAAAATAATATCCTAATTTTCACCAATACCATTTCGAGCTCAAAGAATAGCTCTTGCAATTTCAGGTAACAACCAATTTCTAATGCGTGTGAGTATATTGCCATTAGAGTGTCCAGTTTTCTGCAAATACAGAATTTGCGCAAATACAACTGTAATTTGTAGAATCCGCATGGTCTATAACGTGATTTGTGTATTTTCATAATAATACGAAGGTTTTTACATGATTACAAAACATGCTTAATTAGAATTTTAAAAAACCGTATGATCAAATTTAAAAAAATTCAAAAATTCGGTAATTTTAAGAGGATGTTTAATATTCTAACTTAGCAATTCTGTTTTTGTCCAAATTGGGATTCGAGATATCGTGTCCTGAAGTTATCGAATTTCTCAATCTTTTTTAAATTTGATCAGTAAATTACTGCGCAGAAATGGACAATCTTTTACACTTGTTGCTTGAATACATAGATGATCACGGGCAAATAGCACTTAATACATTGAATATTCTTTTCATGTGTTGACCACCAATTTAATGGAATGACATTTTCATCAAGTAATGAAACTAAATAATGATCAAATTCAGGTGTTCTAAAATAAAATTGTAATGTTTGTTGAATTGTAGTTCTAGAATGTAAATGAATTTGCCAAAAAAATTATAAGTTGAAAATTGAGAATTGCTGATATTGGCTGTAGAAAGCAGTTTTGGATAAATATTATCTATATGCATTATTTGAGCAATTGCCTGATTGACTTTTTATTCTGAAAAAATTGATAATTTTGAAATAAATGCGATTCATTCATTAGTGACCAATACACAGACCTACAGTAAATCACCTGCATCTAGGTATTTTCCAATTTAGACATATTTTACATAAAAAATAATCCTCATACATATATATGTACATGTATATTCTTTTTTCTATTCTTAATGTCTTTGTCATGAAAAGAATTGTCGTCAGAACTTCGCGAACAAATAAGTTCTCTAGCTTGGTCATTTAGAAGCAAACAGTACGATCAACTGATTTAAGAAAACAGGTTCTCCACATCCCTTAAAACGTATTGACGACCAAAAAAATTTTTTATGAACGTGCTAAATAAAATTTAAACCATATAACAAAAAAGATTGCAAGACATCACTTAATACTAGTCAACTAAATGTACTTACCAAAGCATTTTAATACTATTCATAATTATATGAAATTATTATCATTTGAATCTCATTTATGCAATTCATAAACCTCTACTTTTTATCATAAAAAAATTCATTTACAATGAGAAAAAAAGAATTGGAATGCTAATTGGCACCAAATTGATCAGATGAGCCACAGTTTTCTCTTTTTCTCAGATAGACAGAATAAGTATATGGCGAAACTCTTCGAAAAATACTTTGAAAGTTTATGTAATTCTGACAGTAAAATATGGTGGATGTCAGTTATGTTTTGGGAATGTATTGGATAGTACATGTAATATCGGTTATTCTTCTAATTACTCGGTTTTGAGCTTATCGACGCAATTAATTTAATCAAAAAAATCAAAAAAATTTGTGGATTCATTTTGGTCTAAAGGTATTAAATGGAAAGGTGAAGGCATTCATAAGTTCAGGATTGGTATTAAATTTAAGTTTATCATAGAAAACATAACATACTATTGTTCTCAAAATCATTTGTATAATTTTAGACAAACTAGATGTACGTGTATACTGGCCTGCTAAAGCATTGGCCGAGATCAGTGATCGGAAATATCCAATTAATTATGATCACATTCATGGATAACTTTTTCAATAAATGTGTCTAGTTTTTATGTAATAACTTAGAGTTAAAATATTGTTCAATACAAAATAACGCTATGATAAAATCAATTACTGGTATTTACACATATGTATTGGTAAAATTTTCTCAGCAAAAATTCAAATTGACCGATTTTCTTAAAATTGTCATAAGTAAATTTTTAAACAGTACCTGCCTATTTTCCCTATATAAATAAAAAAATGGTTTATTTTCTTCAAAATTTAAATTAATGTTTGTGTGTATGCTTTTTAAGTATTGCGATAAAGATATTCATGTTAATGCTTTATTACCTCCATTTCCATGTGACACGAAAGTAAATTTAATTTATTCACCGAATTATCAAACATTAAATGGTAAAAATGTTTAGATTGAAACTTAATTAGCGAGTAGTCTCAATATAAGATATAAATTTGCAATTTTGCTTAAATCTTTTAAATTTCTATATGATATGAAAGTATTTAATAATTTAAAGATTTTATTTATGAATCTTTGGACTTTCTGAAAGAGATACGTACTATGGCATTGTGCGAAAAATGATGTTATCAGGTATTCAAACCATATAAATCAAACAAATAATAAATTGAATAGAATATAATTTCAACCAAGTTTATTGTCCTTTATTTTGTATTTGCCTAGCCTGTTATTTCCTAAGTTTTAAAGATATAATCAAACCTGACATTAGATTTTAAATACATGTCATAATAACAGTGTATCACGTGCTATCATTTTCAATCGAATCTTGGGATTGTAAACCAGTTACATGTATATGCACATGTATAACATTAAGTTAATGTTCTTATGACATCTATGAATTACGACCAATTTCAGCAACTTCACAGAAAAGTACTCAAGTACAGTAGCAATCAAAAGTATCCGAACCCCTGTATTTTTTTAGATTGAAGATTAATTGTCTTGAAATTTTCAACATAGATAGTTTAATGTAAATCTAGAACCTATGAGCTTTTTATGATTTTATAATTATTATAACAAAATTTAAAATGAGAACTGAATTTTAAATTAAATTTTTACATAAATAAAAAAAATATTAATCATATGTAATAAAAAATAATTAAAATTTAATATATTAAGCTTTAAGCATTTTTATATTAGTAACGAAAAATTTGATATAAATTAATAAGACAGTTATTGAGAAATTAAATTTTAAAATTATTAAATTTTATTATATATGTATGTTCAGTCAACTCTGGTTACAGTAACGTGATCGGGACCACCACTTTTAGGTTGCTGTATCCAAATGTTACTGTATCGATTACAATAACATTATATATATAAATGATTCAAATATGTTATTGTAACTAATTTGTTTATTATATTTGATTATTAATTAGTTAAAAAATCATTAACCTTTGTTTACTTCTTAATATCAAGAACTAATCTATTTACAACTTTTAATAATTTTCTAATGCTAACTACATTTTCTTCTTGAATATTTTCTTGTTATTCTAAAAATGTTAAAATTTCATTCCATGTTGCATATTCCATTCCCATACTCATACTAATTTTTATTGATTCTTCTCCTTTTTTTGTCATTAGTAATATTTGTTTGATTGGTATTTTATACTAAATTGATAATTTCTGTAACAGTAGATATTTCCAACCGATCTGTTTGAATACTTGTTTTAGTTTCAAAAAACTATTGGACAGTCATTATAGTTCCAGAATATTGAGATGCTATTTATGCAAGAATGAATTGAATGTTGTTGTTATTAAGATTAAAATATCAATAGCTTGAAATGTTGATTCCTGGTCAGGAAGAATACCAGTATGTTGCCAACAGTTAACAATAGTTGATCTATTAATTTTGTCACAAGCATTAGAAATAAAATTAATCATCTGTCAGATATCAAATTTTGTATAAACTTAATGTGCCTGTAAGTTATTGATTTTCAAAACATTTGATAAAATCAAGAAGGTATAAACATTTGTAAATGATCTTAAAACTGTTGATAATATATATCAGCATTCATAGGCTGCAAGTAAGTTATACAATTCAAAGGAAGACAACAAACTTTTAGATAACAAATTTAGGAATTTCTCCTGATTCAAAATGAGAAGGTGCATTATCAATAAGTAGCAAGACATGATGACTAGCCACAGCAAAATTTCTGTTAATAAACAAAGCCAAGAAAGAAAAAAGTCAGATCTCATCCATGTCTTTTTGTTAGCATAATATTCTATAGAAAGTAAAGCATGATTTATATTCTTAAAGGGTCTTGGATAAAATACTGTTCTAAGAACAAGTGATTTTAACTTTTCAGAACCAGTTGTATTACACTCCAAGATACTGTAATCCGGATCTTATCTTTTTTGTATTCAAAAATATTTAACAAGGCAGAGAGTGTGTGATTTGATGCCATACTGTAAAAAAAGTCCTGTTTCATTAGCATTAAAGATATCTTTTGGATTATAGTCTGAGATAATATCGTTCATTCTTCATTCAAGCTAATAAGAGGAGTACTGACAGCCTCATCATGCAGCATGACACTATGAAGACCAAATCTAGTTTTAAAATCTTGAAGCCATCCACTGGAAAATTTGAACCAATTCTAATGGCTGCAACTATATCTCAGATCACTATTTGTAAAGTATAGTCATTTGTAGATAACTTTGCTGCTTTAGCATGTGAATATCAAAGAGCGAGGCATTCTTTCAATTTAGAAAATTTGTCATGAATTCATTTTCCAGTTTGTTGTATAGCAAACCATTTCTCCTTTTCTTTAAGAATAATTGATATAGTTGGATGTGCATACCAAATCTACAAATCATTATAATAAATATAAAGAAAATTATTCAAATTGCAAGATCATCCTGCTTTCTATGAGGATTCTTTTGGTGAAAGTCACAGATCTCAAACTTGTAATCTGCACTCTTTTTCTGGGGTTAGATGACATGGCAGTTTCATTTGTTTTAAATTTTATTTGAATAGTTGCTCTTTGGGCAGATGTACGAATTACAGATATTAAATGGGAGTTTTTAAATTTTGAGTGTAAGACGTGATGCTTTGTCTTACCATCCAGTTTATTAATATAATCCACAAAATACGGACAAAAATCTGATGATAACGTTAATTCCTATTTTTAGAAACTGCACAAAGTACATTGCAAACCTTTAAATACACCAGGTTTACTATATACATGTCCTCCAATACAATCGGTCACTATGACGCACATCTCGATCCGATTCGCCTAGTTGCGACAAATCAAATGATAATATTTTTGAATGAATCTGATTACTATATTGTGTTCGATTAATTTTTTTGATTCCAACGAAATGAATTGTCATTTATGAACATCTATTAGTGAAAATTTTCTAACTAGTCAAAGCGAATCGATATTTCATTTGAATTGGATCATTGCGCATGTATTACCGTTACGTCCTAAAGTAGCGATTCATTGTAAAGATGGTCAGAGAAATCTCTTATACAAGAAACTCTTCATATAAGTTTGCACAAACCTCAATTAAAAAATTTATAATAAAAAACTTTCTTATAAAAGACTCTCGATATAAGAAAGAGTTTGGTTTGGACCCGGCGACTTTTTTATATTAACAGTCACTTGTATATATACACATATTTGACCTCATAATAAAAAGGTTTTTTTATACTTATAAAATAAGATGAATAAAGAAATAAAATGAATACATTGTAGTTTACTAAGGCTTGATATGCCTCCGCCGAATTTACAAAAGGTCGTGTTTCTAATGGTCGGAGAGTTGATTATACTAGTTCTTTTGAACAGTAAAGTAATGTTAGATAGAAGTGATGAAAATTTTGTCTTTACTTCTTTTGTCGAGCCAATTGAAATTAAGCTGTCATCATTAAAGAATACTGTAACAAAAAAAAACAACGATATGGTAACCACAGCAATAACAATAATACTTTCATAATAAACTAGCAACTAACAAGTTCCTCAATTTTATCGACGAAACCATCAAACACAATTATCCCGAGAAAAAACACATATGGCGGCAACCTAACGCATTCCGTAGAATCAAAAGGATCGGAAGCAACTGCAATAACAAACCAAATAATCCGGAAACATCTACAGCCGGCGAACCAAATACCAGAAAGATTTGTAACTCTAAAATTAAAAGAATTGGAAGTACCAAAACCAAATAATCCGGAAGTATCTACAACTCTGAAACCAACGCGAGAAGTATCTGCAATTTCATTCTCTGTCGCGCTAAATAGCCAGTGATTACGGCAGAATTGGGCATATTTTAAATACACAAATTTTGGCTAGCAAATGAAAAAATGAATAGGAAGAAGTAAAATTATTGGCAAAACAAACGAACAAGATGAAAATGAAGCATTCATGAGCAAATCCTGGTTACGTGTATCGACAGGAAAAACCTCTTATAAAAAGGAAAACAAAAAGAAAGTTGTGATACTTTGAATATCACAGAAAAAACGTACATGTAAATCCTTTCAACCTGTGATCAACGGTTTCAAATTTCCATTGTCAGCGAGCAAAAGTTTAATAGTTAATTCACACCTTCATCATATGTCTCATCAAATAGTAATGAAAAATTAACAATCAATAATTACTAATGAAAATGAAATAGCGTCAATATTGGATGCCACATTTTTTACTATACATAATAATAATCACGAATTTTCGCAAAATTGGCGAATCATTCGTATATTAGAATAACAAAATTTAATACAATAACCCTGCAATTCATGATCAAAAGATATTCTTTTAAAGTTTATTCTTTAAGACTGTAAACGTTATGAATAAATCTTTTGGCGAGCGGTTGTTTCAAAACTCCTTTCGTCGATCGAAATATGTATGTAATTACAGTTGTTCAACGATAAAGTTGATTAAATACATTTATTTTCATTTTAACAAAGGAAAATACATTTATTAGATATTAATGGAAGAGCTATTTATCATTAAAAAAAGTACATGCAAAAATTTTAGATGTTTTTTAAAATTGGAAGCTCATGTCTACTTTTTGAATATGCACGTCATATCGATATGTGCTTGAACATGTATTACATAGGAAGTTATCTAACTGTCCAAAAATTCTGGGTACATGTATTTTGTTTTTCTTGTTCCCTGCAAAATTAATAAAGATCTGTGCATGCATATTTGTATACATTTTGACATTTGTGTTTTAATTGGTGTGCTACGCAATCAAGTTAACTTTTAATAGATAATTTCCATGTCGCTGTACACATGTTCATTAAATCTTAGATGACAAACAAAGTATATACATGTATATGTACTGTAATAAACTGTAACTCGCTTAAATTACTACGCTTAGTCAAATAAACAAAGTTATCGATGAAAATTAAAATCAAACATAGTATCACGTCAAGTATATATAATTTGAAACAAAATAAAAGATAGTTATGGGGTGAAGCCATCTCTCTATTTTGAATGTTGCTATTTGAATTTTTTCTCTTGAAGTTGATTGATAAAAAATTCGCATTCATTTATATGAAGCTTTTTGTAAAATGGGCCTGGACCTGGACACGGATTTTGACGACGAATTTAACGTAGTTATTGCCTGTTTAATCACGAGTACATTGTCTACTTTCTTTATAATATATAAAGTTATAACGAGTTTTACAAGACTAAGATTTGCATGGTAATTTTACAAATCTACACTATAGTTATTGATACGTATTAAATAATAACATTACCATTTTTAACAACAGTCTAATAGAAACTCTAATCATACAAACATGTGCTATCGTGCACCTTATACGATGCCTCACAAACAGCATAAGTACGATTGCATTTTGGATATTGGTTGCATTAGAAAACGCAGTTTACACAACAATTACCGTAATCTTTATTTTGGACATGGGCCGAAAATTCTATCAAAACATTTACTGGAACACACTATTGTTCAAATTAATATTGTTCGGCATAGTACTTTTTAACATTCTAAATTTCATTACCGCTACATTTCTAATAACCGATGTGATAAAGGCGGAGCCAATAAACATACTTTGGATGGTGCAAATGATTGTGGGAATCTTAACCATGATGTTATCGTTCGGATACACTTTTGCTCCAGTGATAATTTCACATTGGAACCCAAATAATCCGAAACTACAAAACACCGGGCACATCAAACCTATGAATGCTGCTGTAGCCACTTGGTATCTCGTAGTGTTAGGCATTCTATGCTCAATATATTTGGCTTTATATATTGCTTCTTTTTTTGAGGATGGAGATGCAATAGAATATTTGTCGGTAAAGACATCAGTTGATTCGATTATACGAACTGTGATTACTGTTGTGCTTGCTTCATCACCACCGAAACGGTTTATTGAAATTATTAAATCGATAGTGATTAATCGGCGGCCATTAAATAATTTTATTCGTGATCGTGGGGTTGTGAGTACTGGAATGATAGGAGATTCTCCATTTACAAACAAAATAGAATTGTCGACACTGGCGTAATTACTATTCATCAGCCGTGCGTATGGTTCATCAACATAACTTTCTATTATTTTTTCTCTAAGCGTAGACATAAATAAGTTTTATACCGTTTAACGTATTGTAAGATAGAAATATGAAAGAAATCTTTTATTCTCCATATGGAATAATTCCTGTCTTATATATTTAACTCTTAATTCGCATTTACCATGAAAGAATATATATTTTTGAGTTAAATTGGCAGAAAATACATTTATTTTCTTGTAGGATGTAAAAATAAAATTTTAGTGACTTACTCGAAAAAAAATTTTTCTTCAGAATCATTGTTTACAATATGTTTAACTAATAATTGAACAATTGAACAAATACGGTATTTATTAATTCGTTAAATTTAAATCATAATCTTGATATGTGGGTTTGGTGCTTCCTAACTATTGCAAATTTAAAGCGGTATTACGGTTAATTTCGTAAGCTCTACACTCGATATGGTTTTGATATTGATATTATATCCGTAGGCGTTTGCGATAAATTAAAATTTGTGATAGCTTTATTTCTTTTGTGCTGAACAAAATCGAGGACTTTACTTGCTTTGGCCATACAAAGTTGATGAATCGTGTTTGATTCTCGGTTTTTAATTTTGATATTGTTATCGGTTTGGAATAATATTATTTGAGTTATGTGAGTAAAATTTTTTAGTTATTTTTTGCTATGTAAATTGAAGTTATATTTTGTTAGTAATTGGTTATTACATGTACTTTCTAATTGGAATCACCTTTTATTCGTTGACTTTTCACTTGAACTTCTTTAATTTGATTGCGCAATCTTCGTGCAGGATTAGCACAGGAGACCTCTAGAACCCACGCCGTATAGTTAACGTAACTTCTGAATTGAGTGTGACAATATCAATATGATGGAAAAGACACAGAGAGTTAAATTTAAATTCAAAAAGTTAATCATACAAATATTTTTTAACAATAAAGTAAGAATCATAACACTAACACTCTAGATGCTGCGTACTATATGTATTACTAAAAACTAGACTTCAAAGATTACAACTCGAAGTTAAATTTGTCGATAAACGTGGATGAAAAGATTTGATTTCGTTGAATCAATTATTCAAGTTATAATTTTCACTATTTAAAAAAAGATATTTGCTATTTACCACACTGGTATTCCTCATTAATGTTAAATAAGATACGAATAATGAGTTATTAAGTAACATTTAGCATTCTCTTTATAAAAATAACAAATCTTTCTTAAGAATAACATCACGAGGCGAGGTTTTGAAAACAATGTACATTGTAGCTACAATGTAATTATTTTAGATTGTATGCTCCAAGCAGTTCATATAAAGGCACAGTGAGCTCCAAAATGGAGTCAAATACACATGATTGTAGTAAATGTACTAAATGTCAAGAAAGTAAGTTCTGCGATGACTGTTTCAATTATCACAAACGAACTTATAAGGATGAATTGTCTAGCGGAGATAAAGGATGCAATAAAACTAATCAAGAAGATAAAAATTATTCGAATTGATTCCTTATGAAAGATTTCTGGCAAAAGAAATTTTTGGGTAATTTATAAAGCAATCTGGTTGGATGGACGAATTCAATGGAATCATGAAAAAATAAATTTGTGCAATATAGAAAACGAGAAGCTGTGTTTAAATCATTATACAACTCGAAGCAAATTACTCAAAGAGTTATAAACGAGATAAAAAATGATTACGGAATAACTCAAACACCGCTACAAATGAATATTCGCTAGTGAATGAATCGCATGGTTATAGTAAATGTACGGAGTGTCAAAAAAATTATCGCTGTAAATGAGTGTTTCTATTATCACAAACGAACTTATAACGATGAATTTTCTAGCGGAGATAGAATTATCGACAATCTAATAGAAGAATGCAACGAAATTAATAATAACAGAAAATTTAATAAAGATAAATTATTCGAATGGAGTTTTGGTCAATTTATAAAGCAACTCGGTTAGATGGACCTTTACGTTATGGGTATCGGGATCATGACAATATAAAAGGAAACGTGATGGAGAATGTGAAGTTGTGCTGAAATTATCAAACAATTCTAAGCAAGAGTTATAAATGAGGTAAAATGAACATGTTCTATAGCGGTATTTGTTTTTTATTCATTGTAGCAAATATAATATATTATACAGAGTGCTATCAAAAGTTTTTTCAAAACGAAATTCGCATTATATAAAGGAAAGAACTGTATTTATATGCGCGTTTATTTTGTTTGATTTCTGAGAAGTGATTTTTGCATTTTGTTTTTTCCTTATACATCATAATGGAGCAACGTGGTATTATATTCTATTGCCATAAACGTGGAGATTCATATCATCAAATTGCAGAAATCGTTGGATGTGCTTTAGCAACAGTTTGTTATACATTAAAACGGCATGCCGAGACTGATTCCGCCAACTCTAGGCCTCGTTCAGGACGACCACGCTTAATTAGCAATACCCGGCAAAACGGCTCAAACGATTGGTGACGAAGAATCGACGGTTATGTCTTTCCGAAGTGAAAGAACTTTGGAAAAAAAAGGGGTCAGGATGTCTCTACACCAACAATTCGCCGTAATCTTCATTCACTTGGGTTAAAAAATTGCGTTGCACGACGCAAACCTCTTATTTTGCCAGCAAATAAGGCAGCACATCTTGCATGGTGTTTAGAACATGAAAGCTGGATGAAAAAGAAGTGGGCAAAAGTCTTATGGAGTGATAAATCAACTTTCACTCAATTTCAGCAAATTCGTATTAGTAGAGTATGAAGAGAACCACAAGATGAATGGTCTTCTTCTTGTGTTTCAGCTATGGTGAAACACAGTCCAAGCCGTATGCACTGGGGTTGCTTTTTTGCGACAAGAGGTAGACCAATTGTGCTACTACACAGGTTGGCAACTGGAGCTACGCATATTGAAATATTGCGCAAGTATGCTGTACATATCATCACTTGATTGATAATATTTTATTAAGTAATCTTTTTCAAAAGTCAATATTAACTTTATCCAGGAAGATAATGCCAAACCTCACAAAACAAAGAATGCAGTTGCATTTCATATGGAAAAGGGTCTGCGCATTCTTTCTTGGCCTGCTCAAAGCCCAGATCTCAATCCGATTGAGAATTTATAGGCTAAGGTGAAGCGAACTCTCAAAAATGAAAGAAGAAACCAACCAATCTTGCAGAGCTTGACAAGTATGTCAAAGATGCATAGAAAAAAATCCCAAAATGTATAATTGAAAATTTAGTTGATAGTATGCCAGCACGAATTCAGGCGGTGATTGCGGCAGAAGGAGGTCCAACTAAGTACTAGTTATATAATACGAAATGTAGAGCATAAAAAACTTAAAATAAAGTCTTATTAATGGTTTACCATTTTTTACTTTAAAAATTAAAATTTTTATTGAATAAAAAAGCGTTCGGAAACTTTTGATAGCCCACTGTATTTATAACAATTCAAAAACTACAATAATTATGAGAAATTAACTTCACTGACATTATTTTGATCTTGAAGATTAATATCACAGATTGCCTTGCGCACACATGTGATAAATGCCAACCAATCAAACATCATGATTTTAAATGCATATTCCAAAAAACTGACAAACTAAAATGATGATTAAAGTACGCACAGAAAGTAATTGCATTTAGTTTTTTTAAATTGAAGGTAATTTCAAAGACCAATACACAAAAAAATCTCTAAGGAGGGCCATTTGACATATATTTTAGCATGTCTGAATTATAATAACTATCAGCTTGGTTTTTTGAAATATTAATCATTTAAGAAAATAAATAGTTAACTTATTTGCCTATTTTTTTATTTCAAGCTATATATCCAATGATGGAATCGTTCATCCCCAGGAACCAGAAACAATGAATTGTTAAACATTATCTTCTGAGTAAATTTTCTATATAAGTAGAAATCATAAATGTCATTATTTCATAAAAAATCTTATTTTTTGAGACTTGAAAATGTTTGCGCGTCATTAAAAAATTCTGCTGCAAAAATTCGTTCTCCACTTAATGACTACCAGAAGTTTTTAGAAAATTGAAAGACGTTTACAAGAAAAAAACGAACTATTCAATAAAAAATTTAGATTTTTTATGCTAATTCGAGAAAAATATTATTTTAGGTGATATAGCACTTTCAAAAGAGAAGATTCTATTGGAAAAACTTTTTTTTCTCATAAACATATAACATGTATTTGAAGGAAGTTAACAAGTCAAAATTAAGGTAATCTAGATTTTTTTGAGTCAGTTTAAATTTATGCAAGCATCATAGAAAATATTATAATTTAATAATAGAAATTAAAGTTTAAAGTAAATGTTGAGATTATTTGCGATTTTTATTAAAATTTGATTATATTGATATGGTACAATAATGCACTTCATTTAACGTTAAAACATTTAAACGTGTATTACAGTGCTGACCAATTATCGTTACATGTACAATATTTTGTTTATGTACAACGAAAGGAGAATATATATGTATTAAGATATTAACGTTAATAAAAGAGCTATTTATCATTAAAAAAGTAAAAATTTTACTGTTTTTTTTAAAATTGAAGCTCTTTTCTACTTTTGAATGTTCATGTCATCTCATCGATATATGCTTATACATGTTTATATAGGAAGTTATTTAGCTGTCCGAAAATTCTGGATATTTTGTTTCTCTTGTTCCTTTTGTTCTTGCAGACCTTTGCGCATGCATATTTTATAATGAGAATTAACCACTTTTGAAATACTGGATGTATGTGAATAGACATTTTGTGTTTTAATTGGTTTACTATGCAATCAAGTTAACTTTAACGGATAAATTAGATCTCGCTGTGCACATGTTCATATGCTGTAATCGATGATAAAAGTACATGCATATACTGCAATAAATCGTAAAATTTTCCTCACTTGTCAAATGAATAAGTCATCAATGAAAAATAAAATCAAACATAGTACCACGTCAAGTATATTTAATTTTTATTGTGCAGTAATAAAATAAAAGATAGGTATGCGTGAAGTCGTCTCTCTATTTTTGAATGTTGCAATCTGAATATTTTCTCTTGAAATTGATTAATAATCAGTAATAAAAAATTCGCATTCATTATATGAAGCTTTTTGTAAAATGGGCATGGACCTGGACCTAGCCGTGGACCTTGACGAACTTAACGTAGTTATTGTCTGTTTAATCACGAGTACATTGTCTACTTTCTTTATAATATATAAAGTTATAACAAGTTTTACAAGACTAAGATTTGCATGGTAATTTTACAAATCTATACTATAGTTTATTGATATGTATTAAATAGTAACATTATCATTTTTAACAACAGTCTAATAGAAACTCTAACTATACAAACATGTGCTATCGTGCACCTTATACGATGCTTCACAAACAGCATAAGTACGATTGCATTTTGGATATTAATTGCATTAGAGAATGCAATTTACACAACAATTATCGTAATCTTTATTTTGGACATGGGCCGAAAATTCTACCAAAACATTTACTGGAACACATTATTATTCAAATTAATACTATTCGGCATAATACTTTTTAACATTCTAAATTTTATTACCTTTACATTTCTAATAACTGATGCGATAAAGGAGAAGTCAGTACACATACTTTGGGTGGTGCAAATGATTGTGGGAATTTTAACCATGATGTTATCGTTCGGATACACTTTTGCTCCAGTGATAATTTCACATTGGAATCCGAATAATCCGAAACTACAAAACACAGGGCACATCAAACCTATGAATGCTGCTGTAGCCACTTGGTATCTCGTAGTGTTAGGCATTCTATGTTCAATATATTTGGCTTCATATATTTCTTCTTTTTTTGATGGAGATGCAATAGAATATTTGTCGGCGAAGACATCATTTGATTCGATTATACGAAGTGTGATTTCTGTTGTGCTTGCTTCATCACCACCGAAACGGTTTATTGAAATTATTAAATCGATAGTGATTAATCGGCGACCGCTAAATAATTTTATTCGCGATCGTGGGGTTGTGAGCACCGGCATGATAGGAGACTCTTTATATGTAAATAGTATAGAATTGTCGACACTGATGTAATTGCTATTCATCAATTTCATAGTTCTGTACATATAATTCATCCGATAGAACTTTCTATCATTTTTTTTCCCTAAGCGTAGATATAAATAAGTTTTATACGGTTTAATGTATTGTAAGATAGAACATATAAAAGTAAGAACCTTCTATTCTCCATATGGAATAATTCCCGTCTTGATATTGTTGTTAATGTAATCATTTAAGTTAAGCAAGGGTTTTCGTGATTGATTCTGTATCACAATGGCTTAATAATATACATAATGATCATCTGTATGATAATTCTAAATTAAATACATCATCTGTGAAATTGATCTTCATAAAATGTAATACAAAAGATAAACTATAATATAGATAGCACAAAATGAAAATCTAAAAATCTAAACTAAAAAAGAATGTAATCCAATTAAAATTATTACATATCTTTCTACTTAAAAAGCCTTTGAAAATTCACATATTTAATATTATACTTTATCTTTTTTATGGCATTTTCAAGTTTTAAAAGATTTTTAGGTAAAATTATAGAAAGAATATTCAAGTTATTTAATAAGATATTGGGATTTGTGATAAAAAATTCTTTTGTCAAGAATATTTTCAACTTCATATTCTTCTTCTTCATCTGAAGTGATGATGGCTAATGATAGTATATGTCTTTTGAATTCATTATCTGAATTATATTTCTTTAATAATAATATATAAAATATCAAATATAATTTCATATTAACTAATAATTATAATTTATAAGTAACAAAAAATATTTTACTGATAATTTCAAAAGATCTAGTATATTTTGATATAAGGTTCTTGATTATTCTTTGTATATTTACAAAATTATCTATATTAATAACTCATTAGATAATAATAAAATGATAACTCAATATTATAAACTTGAATATTTATTTTCAATTAAACTAATTTCTAGTGTTTATAAAATAATAAATAAAAATTTTTCAAATATCATCTTTATATATTTTCATTTCATTTAAATATATAATCTAATAATTATATTATAAGTAGAAAGAAAAACTTAATCTCTAATAAAAAATTCTTATATTAATATTATAATAAATCTGTTAAGTAAGTTTTTACTTAGATTCTCCTTAACAATATTAAATTGAATTAATTAAAGAGAAAAGAGAGAGAAATTAGACTATACTTTCAATAATAATAAAGATTTCTAAGACTTGTATTAATATCTATAAATATTATCTTAATAAAAAGATAATAAATAATAAAAAATAAAATAATCAAGAAAATTATAAAGATTAAGTAGTGAAGCCACTAGTAATCAATATAATTCAAGATTTAAACTAATTAAATAATTAAATTACTATTGATCAAAAAAGATTATAACTAAAGAAAAAGATATAAACTAAAATAAATAATGAAATAACTAATTAAAAAGAGTATGGCTTAGTTATAATAGAGATCTTTTACTCTCAAAAATAATAAAACAAATAAAATAAAAAGTATAACTTATTTATAGTAGAGATCTTTTACTCTTAAAATAATATTAAAAATCAAAAATTAATATAATATTATAATTCAAATTAAAATCTACTTTATATAGTTAAAGCAATAAAACCAAGTGAGAGAAAGAATACTAGTATAATTAGAAAAGAAATCTTTTAAAAAAGATTATTATTATTATAATAATAAGTTTTTTAATTATATTTTCTAAATAATTCAATTCAAAACTATTTATTTCAAGCTGAAATAGCAGGTTCTTTTATATATTTTTCAAATATATAAATTATTATGATATTACTAACTAATACTATCTAATATATATGTCATAATTAAAGTACTATAAATAATTTAAAATATATTATATTAAAATATATTGAATGATATCAAAGAATATTAAAGAATATCAAAGTATGTAAAAGAATATTGAAAGATGTGAAAAGATATTGAAAGATATGAAAAGATGTTAAAAGATATGAAAAGATATAAAAGAATATGAGAGAATATTAAAGTATATTAAAGGATGAGAAAAAATATTTGTGATCAATATTTCAAGTATAATTATTCTACCAAAATTAAAAATAATCTTTCACTATATTTTATTACAAAAAATATAGATACTGAATATAAAATAAAATATAGTATTTAAAAATAGAAATATAATAATAAATATAGTAATATGTGATATAAAATAGTAATATTTATAAAATAAATAAAAATTATAAGAAAATGTAATTTTATATAATCAAGAAAAGATTAAGAAATTAAGAAATTTTATGTCACTACAGTAATAATACTTTAATTTAATAATAAATAAAGCATTACTTTACTAAAAAAACTAAAATAAAATATTTTTAAAAAAAAGATATTTTTAATATTATTACTATCAATTTATAAGATTAAAACTTTAAACTATACAAGTAAGTTGTTCTAGATTTGATAAATATATATCTTAAATTTTATAAAAATTAAATTAGTAGTTATAAAGATTTTAAGATTTAAAGTTTAGTAATTAAATTCTTTATTATATAATTTTTATATTAATAAAATTTTTTTTATAAAGATATATAATAAAAATTTTTACATTTAAATAAATTCTAATATCTAATAACTTAATTAAATAAAACAAAATTAAAATTTTATTTTTAAAAATAATCTATTAATATTTATTTGATATATTATCTTTTTTGTACTGGATTATAATAATTAATTAGAATAAATAAAATTATAAAAGAATTATTAAAAGAAAATCTAATTAAAAAATATTTAATTATTTAATTTAATATTATAGATATATATAATAATTATTTATGTAATAATATATTAAATTTAATATATTAAATATATAAATGATCATCTGTATATTCAGAATAAAATTAATCTTTATAAAAAGTGATATAAAAGCTGATTTGTTATATAAATAGTATAAAATAAAAATCTAAACTAAAGAGAAATAATCTAATTAAAATTATTATATACTTCTTTACTTAAAGTATAATATTTTTATTATATTCAAATATATAATTTCTCAAATATATTAATCTTCTCCATGATATTTTTCAAGTTTTCAAGTAATTTTTATATTATATTATAAAGAGAATAGCCAAGCTATTTAACAAGATATTGAAGTTTATAATAATAAATTATTATTTATAATAAAATATGTAGGTAAATTATTTATCTTTTATTTCTAGTTGTATTTCACAAAAATTATTAAACTTGTTAAAAATTAAGTAATCCAATAATTATTATAAGTAACAAAAATCATTATTATGATTATAAATTTCACAAATTTTATTTATTTAACTTATGATTTTACAGAAATATAAATCAAATATAGGTATTTAAAAAATATATATATTAATAGTTTATTTTTTTCTATCATTTTCAATTATCTTATTTATATGATCTGATATTTTTTTTATCAGATTAAGATATAAATTCATGATAATATTACTATATTAATATAAAATTTCTTAATTTCATAATCTTTTTTTAGTTATACAAAATTTCATATTTTTATAATTTTATATTTCATTTTATAATTATTCTTATTTTTTTATAATTATACATTTATTTTTCTTATTATAATTACTCTTTATAGTTATATTTCTATCTTTAGATATTATATATTATTCTTTTTATTTAAGATTTACATTTTCAAATTACCTGTCATAATTTATATATTTACTATAATAGTATATTTAAAGATCCTTTTTAAATATTTGATAAAATGATAAAATATTTTTTGATATCTTTTTATATTTTTCAGCATTTTTTAATATTGATATTTTAAATATCTTTTAATATTGACATTTTAAATATCTTTTCACATCTTTCAATATTGATATTTCAAATATCTTTCAATATTTTTTGATATCTATATTTTTAATATTAATATTTAAAATATTAGTATTTTAATAATAATATATATTTAAATAGTATTAGCTAATAATACTATAATAATATTATAATAATTTATGTATTCAAAAAATATATAAAAGAATCTGTTATCCCAGCTTGAAATAAATAATTTTGAATTGAATTAATTAAAAAAAAGCTTATTATTATAATAATAGTAATCTTTTTACAAGATTTTTTTCTAATTATACTAGTATTCTTTCTCTTACTTAGTTTTATTTCTTTAACTATACAAAGTTAATTTTGATTTGGATTATAATATTATATTAATTTTTGAATTTTGATATTATTTTTAAGAGTAAAAAATCTTTACTATAAATAAGTCATACTTTTATTTTATTTATTTTATTATTTTTAAGAATAAAAGATCTTTACTATAAATAAGACATATTCTTTTTATTTAGTTATTTTCATATTTTAGTTTAGTTTTTATCTTTTTTTTAATAATAATCTTCTTTGATTAATAATAGCTTTACTATTTAATTACTTTAAGTCTTGGATTATATTGATTATTAGTAACTTCACTAGTTAATCTTTATAATTTTTTTAATATATTTCTTTTTTTTATTATTTATTTTACCCTTTATAAAAATAATATCTATAGATATTGATAAGATCTTAGAAAACTTTATCATTATTAAAAGTATAGTCTAATTTTTCTCTCTTTATTTTTTAATTAATTCAGTCTTTTTTAATCTAATATTATTAAAATAAATTCAAGTAAAAATCTATTTACTAATTCATTATAATATATTTTTAATACTTTCTATAAAAAAAATTCTCTCTTTATATATTATTTTTTATATATACTCTTTTTATATTCTTTTTATATCCTTCTCTTTTATTATTCAAATAATTGATAAATATTTATATCTTGAATTTTCATAATTAATTATTATTCTTTTATTGGATTACTTATTAATTATCATTTACAAGTATATTAAGATTCTAATTACTCTATTAGAATATTCTTTTAATATTATTATTCTTATTGTTATCCTCTTCAATCAAATTTTTTTTATAATTTTGGACTTTTAATTTGCTTATAAAAAATATTGAAGTAATATTAATTAATCAAATCATATATTTATTATTTTACAAACTGATTCAACTTGATC